AAATAATAGACATATTCAGTCTAAAATGAGATGACATCGAAGTGTAGCTTACCATGTATATGAGTGAGATGATAGGTGTAATAACTTAGAAAACCTAAATCTAAATAAGATCAAGAGAATTTTTTTGGCAGAAATTGGAAGTTACGAGCAACATCTACAGATCGTACATAGAATCATGCGTAGTAGATGAGATTCATAGATTAACTACACAAACGAGGGGTTAGCCTGAGTTTAATGAGTTCAGTTTACAGGTAATAAACCAATTTACGGGCCATATACTATGCTCATAAAACAAGTTTTAAATTTTTTTTTTTTTGAGTTTTACCGACTACGTTTACATCTTAACAAATAGTTGGGAAGGACAATAGAATGTTGCTCCTAACCATTATAAAGGTGTCATATTCAGCTCCATAAGGAATTGAAGCATCCTCTCATCATGATGAACTTTGTTATATTTTTCTTTGGCACCACACACATTTAAAATTACAAGAAATGAATATATTTTGAGCATCTAATTCATTCCGTCGACTCTTTATTTTTCTGAAGTACATAGAAATACTAAAATTTCTTTGAATTACAATTCTATGATTTTTTAAGAAGTTGAAACACTTTTGCACCATTAGACATCAAATCTATCTCACAGGTCAAAATGCAAAACTTTGGTATTTTTTAAATACAAAACAGATTTATTAATCTTTTTAAGAAAGGAGTTGAGTAACTCGGACAAGACCATATCATACATCTTTTCAGGCCTTCTGAAGAATCATATCATCAACATGAGCAGCTAGGGATCGCTTAATCAATCCTAACTTTTTCTTTGCCTAGAACTCTATAACGATAGCTATTCTCCGACCACCATAACTCCAACCATCAAAGATAGTGGATACAAGGTTTATGTCAGTAAAATCAAAAGTGTGAATAGATAAAGCATGTGAAGAATTCACTGCATCATTGGCGGGGATCCAATCACTCTTTTCACTAGTCTTGCAAGAATAGAAAGATGACCACTAACACTAGTCATATCAGGAAATAAAGAAGATGAAGAAAATCAAGACTAATAAATCAGCACTGCTTTGATACCATGAATAAATTGAGAAGATCAGTGTATAAAAATTTCCTTCGTTGTGTATGCGAGTTTATAATTTTGTATAATTGGTTGTGTATTTATGCAAGTAATGAACCATCTTTCTGGTAAGGCTTAAGTCATAGACAACCTCCTAAATTTGTCCACATAATTTATTTAAACACTTTGTCTTGGACTTATTCCAATTGAACACCTTCATTAGTTAACAAAAAAATGTCTATTGAACATTTTCGGACAGTCAACTAAAAGTAGAAATCGTGGATCATACACTCGTTAATGATGTGACACAATATTAATAAAAAAATACATGTCGCATTGGCCCATAATAATAGTAACAAATAAATTAGAGAGAACAATAAAGTAAAATATATGGTTTTAGCAAAATGAAAAATTAAAAAAAAAAAAATTCCCTCGTTTCTTTTTTTGCTAGAACACCCCATCCATCTACCTACCCCGAATTCATCCTTCCCCCTTTTCTTCTTTATCGGAACATATGCAGAGCTGGAGCGGCTAAAACCACCCATAATCATCTATACTCCACCTTTTCTTTCTCTCAATTCATATAAGGATATTTTCACCCATGCACCTGCCCCTCTCTTTTTTTATGATATCCATTAATATTGTAATCGTCATTTCTCTCTATCTCACTTTCTTTTCAAGTATCAATTCAAATTTCTGTACTACTTCTATACTACTCTTCCTCCTCCTCCTCCTCTATCACCTTTAAAATTTGAATTCTTTAACAATTTTAAAGAAAATGATTCAGATTACGAATAGTCTTGTTGAAAAAAATAAAGTTTAGCCGAAAGTATTTTTGACGTATTTAATTTTAGTTTGTGATGATATTGGTAATAGAGGAGTGATGCTACAAAAAAAGATTAACGAGTATGAAAAAGGGGTGTGACGTGAACCGTGACAAGAAATTTGTTTAGATAATTTGAAATTGAAAAGTTAAATTAGGGTAGGTAAACACCAATCATTGACTAGCGAAGTCAAATTTTCTGTTAAACAAAAAATTAACAACAAAATGGAACCAAAATAAAGTGCAAGAGTTTTACTTTTTTGAAATGGAGTGAAAAAAGATAGTACTTTGAATAACAAGATCAATAGAAGAGTGTGGTTTTTTTTTTGAATCTTGATTAAGAGTATATTGTTGAATTGAATTATTATTTTCTTAGTTGTTTAGTTAATGTATGTCAGGTGTTAAAAAAACTACAAATATATTTAAAAAATATTTAAAATGGAATAGAGATCTATTTATGTGTAAAGTAGTAGTGAGGTATATTAATTTTGCCACGTAAGAACTTTGTGTATAATTTGCATATGTTTTGAACAATTTACGTGTTTAATAGGTACAAGTTATAGTTAAGGTGTCTAAATAAATTATGCGGATAACTTTAAAGAATCCTCAATGAGTTAAGTCTTCTTCTGATAAATTATAGATGTGTCTAATTCTAATTTGCTAACCTACTAACAAACTAGTGAAATAAAAATTTTGTATTTATAAATTTGGAGCTTGTGTAATATACACATATAACAGGTCCAAAAGAGAGGAGATTGAATCTGTAGAAGCCCAAAAATTTTTAAAACTTGAGAAGCTGACAAAAATGTATTAAATTTAAAATTGGTGACAAAAAAAAGTGACCAAGTCAAACTTTTTTTTAAATAGTGATTAAGATAATTGGGGTCTGAAATATAATATTTAATACTTTTAAACTTTTAAAAACATTCAAAATAAACCAAATTTATAATTGTGTTTTTTTTCAATTGTTGCGAACAAGTATCAGTTTTTAGGGTTCGTTTTCTTCATCTTCGTCTGTCGTCTTCGTCTTCTTTGTCATCGTCGTCATCTACCTCAAGGTAATACTCTTTTCTTTTCTTTCATTGTTAGGATTTTGAGAGTGTAAAAGTTGAAAATTCATTGTGCTATTTTTGTTTATAATTTTTTTTGTTATTTTTGTCCAAATTATCACCTGCATTTCTGAAAAGATTTTTTAAGTTCTGAAAAGATTTGTCATATTGAATTTTTAGAATTTCAGCTGATTTTTATTTTTATGCCTATGAATAAGTAAGCCCTTCATTTACATTAGTTTAGAGAAATTAGAGAGCTAAAGGAATATTTTTGGTGTGGGTTAATGATTGATATATTCTGAAAGACAATGACTTTCTTGTGTATACCTAATTGTTGACTTTTTAATTTACTCTTACAATATATATTAAGATTTTTTCTTATATTTTATTTTGTATTTCATAATTTTGTTTGTTTCTCTCTCTTTTTTAGTATTGTTTTTTTATTGGCCTAAATAATTCAATTTTTATTGAATTAGGCTGATTTAGACTCAATTCTGATAGCCCGATATTTTAGACCCAGTCTAATATCAATGGTCAATATTGAATCTCAACCATTTATAGTATTTTGATTCAAGGATCTTATGTGACGCTACCAAAAATACAAAACTTCAAAAATCAAATTTTGATTGTATTGTTTTATTTTATTTTTCTTCTGCACTTGCTTCCACCTATCACCATCCCCGCCGCGGCCAACACTCTTTGAACAAAAAAATCTCTAAAATTTTACCACTTCTTCCTTTCACTATCCTCTACACAAATTTGCAAATCATTTATCTTTATTCATAGTCAACTATGTAGATCTAGGAAAAATCAAACACAAATCTTTACTTTTTTTCTTTAGATTTATTAAGTTTCGGTCATCCTCATTCTATACATTTTACTTAAATGTATAGTGCTCCTTCAATTGTTATCTTTTGATATAATTTTATGTCAAAATTCCATTAAGAAAATTTTCAGCTAAGTTTTCGATGACCCTCATTCACTTGAAAATTCATTTCAATTTTTCCCTCTCATTGTCTATCCAAATCTGCCACTATCACATTCTTTTTTAAAATTATGTAAGTTATTTTGGTGTCGGATTTGTATAATTTTGTTAATGATCTTTAAGTTTAATCATGTTGAAGTTTTTGCTTGAATTTTATTTTTATTTTCTTTCTTATTTTTTTGTATTCTATCTTCAAGATAGTTTACATGTTTGAATGTTGTGTTAGTGGACTGATTTTTCTTTTGATTTTTGGATCATGATTAAATGAATCTATATTGCTGGGTCTATTTTAAATTTTTAGATGACCAATTTAGGTGTTATTCAATTAAAAAATAAAAGAAATAGATCATCTAAAAGGGTTATATAATCTTTTGATTAATCTGCTCTTGAAAAATAAAATTCATTAGCCAGCTTGGGTGGCACATGGTGAAGACAAAGAGTCCAATGCACTGTCTTTCAAGTTTTCAAAAAGAGTGTTAATATTCAACACCTATTTAAATTCTATTCTTCTTTTATTTCAAGTAAAAGAGAAAAAGGAAAAAGAACAAGAACAAAAAAATTAGAAGAAGAAAAATCATAAAAATAGAGAGTACAAAGTCTTCTTCTAAAAATATTATTTGGTCATTTGTGATCTTGAAAGTTAAATTAATTTTGCTTCCATCCCTTTGCCATCATCTCTTTGGGTATATCCCTTTTCTATATCAACGTAACTTCAAAAAAATATGTTGCTTATATTTTTGATTAAATTATTATGTTTGGTTTATTTGAATTAGTTAAATATGTTATTATACTTGATATGATTATGTCTTCTTGCTATTGTATATTTGTGTTTTATTATTAATAAGATGCTAAATATATTTTTATCAATATAAAGTTGACATTTAAATACGTATTGTGCTAAAAAACAACTCAAAGTCTTTTTTATTAATTCTGGTCATTTTAAGAAAAGAAGAGGTTATTTTGCAAAAATACAAAACTGATCATTTTTTATAAAAATATGAATCCAATCATTTTGTAAATTCTTAGAAAATCCTCTCTTAAAATTAAATATATGAAATGATTTACTGAAACAAAAATGCAAATTCATTTATGTTAGTAATTTATCTATTAGATAAAATTAACTATTTTAATAATTTTCTTTCAAAAGAGAGCAATGTGATCATTTTGAGTAAACTCAAAACTTTTACTAGGATGGTCATTTATGAAATTGTATATATGTTTTTAGATTTTGTTTTTTAATATTTCACTACTTATTTTTAAAATGGGCTTAATTATTTTTTTTAAGAAAACTTTTTATCGTCATATATATATATATATATATATATATCCCTTATTTAGAAATGGGACTTGGGTAAGGACTAACACAACTTTAAAAATTGATACTAAAAACATTTAAAGTTGTACTATAATATTTCCTTATTTATAAGTGGGACTTGGGTTGAGACTAACACAACTTTAAAAATTGATACTAAAAGCATTTCAATTATATATATATAACTTATTTATAAGTGGATCTTGGGTTGGGACTAACACACCTTTAAATATTGATACTAAAAGCATTTCAAGTATATATATATATAGCTCTTATTTAGAAGTGGGACTTGGGTTAGGACTGACACAACTTTAAAAATTAATATTAAAAGCATTTCAAGCTGTATTATAATATTTCCTTATTTAGAAGTGAGACTTGGGTTGGGACTAGCAACTTTAAAAATTGATACTAAAAGTATTTCAAGCTGTACTATACTATGGCAGAAAATTTTTGTACCTTTAGCATTAGGTGTTTGTACCTTTTTACAACTATGCATTCGTTTCTTTATCCTCTCCCATGTAACACGTGTAATTGCATTGTCTTCATCAAAGCACATGTATAATTGAACAAAATAAGCATACATCTCACTACCATCCTTCAAAGATTGAAATTGGGTCTCACTTCTTCGAAGCTTCAAATTTCAAAGGTATATGGATTCTCCTATTCTCTTCTATCGAATTTTTTCACTCTCTTTTACACTTTAATTTTGATCTTTTTACACAGAATATGCATTCTCTATTTCCTATTGATGATAAATGAATTTATTTATTTAGAGATTTTGAATTTGATTATTGAATATCTTATTGAATTTAGAAAATCCGGCAAAGTAGACAAGCTGAATTTGGTCTCGAAGGGATTGCTTTCCACAACATGGAATAGAATATGTACTTTTTCTGATACCTCATCTCATTGCATGTTCTAATGATGTTGTCTTTTGGTTCCATTTGAAAGTTTATGGGCATCGAAATCTCAGCTGGGTAGGAAATACCGTCATTAGGTATTTTAATTCTATGATTGTTTTTGGTTTTTGTTCCAATTTTTCCTTAATTTAGGATTTATACCACTTAGGTTAGAGAACATCATAGAAACAACCTCTCTGCATTTCAAGGTAAGAGTAAAATTACTAACATGGGTTGTGGTAAAGGGTGGAAATTTTCATACTCAACCAGAAGTTTCGTGTTCGAGCCTCGGATATAGAGAAAATTTTATTGGGAGCGCCACCCCAGAATGGTGCGATTTGGATTTAATCGCAGATCCAATGTAGGCTCCGGACACCGAGTGGGAAACTGATAAAAGGTAAGGGTAAAATTAGTATGTTATAGTTGTAGACTTTAATATATCATTCATAGTCTATGATTGCGGTTCTTTGAATAGTCTTGTAATCTTGTGTTCTCCTAAAAGTTTTCACCCTCACCAAATTCTCGACATTTTTCTTATTTAATGTCCTTTTCCTTGTTACGATTTCAGGTTATATACTTTGCTTGGCTGGAGTAGTATGGTTAGATTCTTCTGCATAGACTTTTAGAAATCAATAAGTCACACAATTATGAATTATTTTGATAGACTAAGGCGATATCTTTGATATAGAATTAGGGGCGTTGCGACTTTAAGAACAAGATTAAAATTATTTTGATGAATGGTGGTTAGCATGTACATGAATATAGCCGGTTCGTACCTATTTTACTCATATTCTATATTGTTCTTTCTTCTGCTAATGGTTGAATGCTTAATCTCCATTTTTTTTATCTAAGGGTAATATTTATATCTAGGATAAGTCTTTGTTGAGTTGAAATCAAATGTTTCTCATCAAAATATGTGAATCTTCGGAAGATTTGATTGAAGGATTTTTGTGCTTGATTTCTTCCCAGATATGAGGAATTGTTCTCTGTCACTGGTGAATTATGTTGTAAAAATTTTGATAAAAAAAAGTACCTCATTGTAGATGGGTTAACTAACTCTAAAAATTTACAACTACTAAATTTCATTTGCAGTGAAAAATGACCTTCCACGAGCAAGGGAAACAAAGAGGTCGACAAACTACATCTATTATTAATCATAGACCACTTGCACCTGCTATTTCATGGGACCAAAGAGCTTTAGGTGAACCACTTTCATACAGTGATATTTTACGACTTCTCGAGTCCGCTGTAGAGCAGTTTGCTCCACCTAATTTACAAGCTTAATTGATCGCGGAAAAGGTTAGTGTTGGAAAAATACATGTGCCAGTTTCCTCCTTTAGTAGATCATGCATGTAACAATTTAGAGCAACATATAGTAGCAACTTGCTGCAATTTCTTTCTCACCTTTGATGTGTCAAATTGTCATCTCTCATACGGTTATTCTGCTTCCTCCTTCAATCTTTCAAAATCTAACATCTATCCTTTATGTTTTGCTGAATTTTTTTGGCTTTATTCTACATTCTTTTAGGTTAATTTTATTTATTGATGTTCTTCTTCTATTTTCCTCCTCCTTTTACGTGTTCTCTGATTTTTCCCTTATTGAGTTGTTTGATGTAGCGTTTTTTCTTTATTGAAGTGTTGCATGTATACAAAACTATTTGTTTATATTTTCATTTACTAATTTAAAATTCTTACCTAAGATTTTATGTTGGAGCTCTAAGGATGAAATCAGTCTCATTTGCAGGTGGAAAAAACCATCAAAATGTTTGCAAATGCAAATGGAGACTTTTTAAGGTTCAAGTGAAGGAGGATGGAAAGGACGGCAAACAAACTACTATCTGATCTACGAGTAGTTCATATTGAGAGGTAAGGACTGCAATTTTACTTGTCGATAAAATTATTTTGATAAATGTGGTTAAACAATTAAGATCTATTCTTCTCTTGCACTGCTGTTGCATTGTTTTAGATAATTTGTGTAAGAAACAGAGAATGTAGACTTGATCGATCGGAGAATCATAATTGAGAGTTAGATGTAAGTTCAATAATTATTGAGTTTATCAGCTTAAAGAATAGGTAGAAATGTGTATTAGTGGACGTATTGGAGAGTCATGCTTGTGCACTGAAAATCACTTATCAAAATTAGCGATGCCTTTCTACATATAACATAATACTTCAATAACTGTTCACAGATCGCAACTGAGATTATATATTCTTTCATGTATGCGTTGTCTAGCTTGCAAGATGGGAACCAAGTATTTCTTTCACTTTGTGAAGTTTCAGTTCATAATGAAAAGCCAACAATGAATGGAAAGGTTTCGAACCGCGTTGTAGATATATTTCAAATAAAGGCCTTTTTCTTTGGTATGATATTATCAAAGAAATAACAAGCAAATCAGAAAATTTTGAGTGTCGAAACTTAAAATAAATGCCTTTTCCGTGGTATGATATTATCAAAGAAAATATAAGCAAATCGAAAAATTTTGAGTAGTGAAGGGTCACAGGTAAAAAGAAATCAAAATAGGTCAATTTGAGACTCAAAGTTTGTTGTGGTATGCCTCAAATCCTTCAGCCATTGATTACTATAATTATTTAGGGAAAGAGAAGCGTTGTATTTTTACACATTTATAAAAGAACATAAACAGGGAAAGCGAGAGAATGAGATAAAAGTAAAAAATATTGAAATTATTGCATTCTCAATGATTCAGAATGGTGTGCACCTCAACGATCTTATCTTTTTTTAATCTTTATTCATATTTACGCTAGACTGTACATCATGGACTTAAATAATGGTTGCATTGGTACTAATCCACAAAGTGTAGTCATCTATAATGAGCAAAGATTAGGATATAGAAAGTTTAATAACATAGTTTCTATTGAGATAAAATTTTGACGAGTGCTCACATAGCTACCATCAGATTTTCCATGTTATAGTTTCATGTTATGTAACAATTTACTTTATCTTTTTGTTAGATAATCTTACGTATGGTCTTCTATGCAGGTTATGATGCACCAAACTCGGAGGTACTCACTACTTCTCAAGTTTATTTTAGAGTTATCCAAGTACCTTTAAATTGCTTGCTCTTTCCTCTTCATGATTGTCTCTGTGTTACAAGTTTCTCTATATGCATGCCTGCATTTGTATCGTTGTGCCATGTATGTGCTTTTAGAATATATTTTTCTTACTTATTAGACATAGGAACATTGTGTATATATAACTAGAATATTTTAGAAAGAGTTTAGATTAAAGGTTTCAAGAGATCTACTAATACATTACTCGAGTACATTATGGTGTTTCTAAGAAAGTTCCAGCAGCGAAGGTGCTATGATATTATCTTTTTATTGTGAGAACTCAAATATGGAACCTATTATGTTTGTAACTTCGACATAAAACTACAGTTAAGAAATACTATATTTTCTTTGGGTGGATCCTCATAATGTTGAAGATGCCAAAAAATGTATGTCTGAAATACAATTAAAAGTCATTGTTTTGCAGCATTGGCCATAACCTATAAGTTTTGAAATCTTTTGTTTTGTCATCCTATGTAGCAATCAATTTTTTAAATTCATTCATGTGTGTTACTGCCTACTTACAGGGTTATTGTTGTTGAGTTAAATATCGTCCAATTTATGGCAAGGGAATGCGATTGCTTTTGTGAAATGTTTCAGCTAAGTCACTTCATCCATGATTTTTTCTCCTTTTAATGCTAGAGAATCAAATAGGGAATATGCCTATTTACTACGGAGACGAAGAATCAGTGATACCTAGCCCTCCATATACCTGCAATTTCACAAAAGAATTGAAGACAATGAGGAAGATGATCATCAACAGATCTTTGGAGCTCTCCTTTGTGTTAAATATAGTGTTCAGGGGGATAAAATGTATTATGATTTATTTTGGTTTGACTAAGGTATTAGGAAATAATCATATATGACTATATTTATGTGATTATTATATGCTCGATTGAGTTGTATAAATTTTAATTTTTCAAGTGATAAAAACATGAAATTTCCTTCCAATCATATTTCTCAACTATGTTGGGCCGTGCATAGCACGAGCAATCACTCATCTAGTGTGTGTATATATATATATATATATATATATATATATATAAAGATATCGTATTTCATGTATTCATGTTGCAATAAATTCAATGATTTTTTCCTTATCATTTTAAAGGAATTGTGTCATTAATTATTTGTTTTATTTAATAAATAATATTTATCAAATACAATCATGTGTTCAGTTATAATCCTTGATGTGTATATTTATTCTCTAAAAAGAGATCTTTTGTGTGGCAACGCTCCTATACAAATTATTTTATTAAAAATTAGCGACTAACACAAATTTACATTATTATATTATTTTAGCCAAAAATGAGTTGATGAATTGACCGTGCTAGAACCATGAGACTAAGAGGGTGCCTCATAGCTTCCCTTTGGTCAATAGAATTTCTTACCCAATCCATGTTTTTGTAAATTAAAAATGAAGAGTCTTTTTTATATTAGAAATTAGCAGGTGACTTGAAACACCCAAAAAAACTCAATTCCAAGTGCCGATTCAAAAAAAGAAAAAAATATTTTCTTTTCCATTTTAGTTTTCAAAAAAAAATCCGTCACAATCCTTAACTATAGTAATTTAAGAGGTGTGAAAGATCTAGTGACTTCGCAGAGACTTTTTATTTTAGAATTTGATCTTTGTACATTGATTATTTGGACTATTTTAGTTATTTGGATATTTTTTTTGTTGGCTAATGTTCTATTTGATGATTTATTGTTTAGATTTTGAGTGACTACATATAAATTGTCTCTTCTCGCACATTTTTTGAGTCTCTTTAATTTTGTTATACACATTGTGTGCGGATACGCTCCATAAGACTTCGGTCTAAAATGAGCCAGTGTACGATTATCCTCCTGGTTCAGAATTTGTCACTCATGTTAGGCGGGACAAAGTTCCCAATTAAGTTGAAATAACTCTGCTACCTGTCTCCTAATCCACTCCGATGTGAGTTGTTCACTCGAGTAAAGTCAGTCTAGATACCTTCCATATAAAGTGTTAAACCTAAGAAAACATGAATATGGAGTGGTTGATGCATATAGTCATATGCTTAGGACATCAAATCCGGAAAGTAAAACGACGTTAAGATTGATGAAAATGATAGTTTCAAATACTTTTTTTGTGGCATATGGAGCTTGGATTCTTAGTTTCAAACAAATGAGAGAAGTCATAGTTGTTGTTTGGACATTTTTGAGAAGTCAATATGGCAGTTTGTTGTTGTTTGCCGTTGCACAAGATGCAGAGAATCATATTTTCCAGTGGCATTTTGCGTAGTAAACTCAATTGAGAAGTTTTGTACTTGATACTCCTGAATTTTGCTTAATCTCTGATAAACATAAAGTATTGAAAAGATGGTTTCAAAGTTTTGTACTTTTATGTCTAACAGAGATTATGCACAATTCAAGTATTAAGTAAAATACTTCTCAATTTCTCGAAAAAGTATCGGTCGGAAGCATCACATTTATAGTCTATTATGAAAAATGACATCGAAAAAATATGATTCTCCACATACTATGCAACAACAGACAACAACACACTATCATATTTAATTCTCAAAAATATCTCATTAATATCTATGACTTTTCTCATTTGTGTGAAACCAAGAATTCACGCACCATATGTCACAGAGAAATACTTGAACCTACCATTTTCATTAATCTTCATTGTTGTTTTACTTTCCCGATTTGATGTCCTAATCATATGACTATACACATTAATAACTCCATATCCACGTTCATGTGTCCCTCTTACCAAAGACTTTTGAATCTCACTACTGCCCAAACTTTTCAATAATTAATCTTACATTCCAATTCAATACGAATAGAGTTTTTCAAATCTTTTGTAGGTGGATGTTTACCTTCAGGATATTTATCTTTAAATTATCGTAAGATGTTCCGAGCCACATGTATGCATCTTTTCATACTTTTTAGTCTAAAATCTATCAGAATTTTCAACACCACCACTTGCACTTAAGATGTTCACATTTGACACAACATACTGAACGCGAATTAATTACCTCTTCAATCTAAAATCTTTTTTTGATACAGACAATTTTTAATGCAATATCTAATTCTTATTTATTCTTAAACGATATATCTTTGTAAAAATCGGTTTCATCATCTTGAGCATGACTGCATTAATTAATTATAAGCTAAAGAAAAAATTAATTAAGTATACAAAGAGGATGAAACTTTAAAACAAGTAAATTTATGAGTTCATAGTACTTGCCTATCAACAACTTCACCAATGATGGACAATCTATTCCGAACTTCAGGAGAAAGAATTTGTTGACCTTCACACTCTTCATCCGGAATATACATATTCATCCTACCACATTCATCATTCAATAGTGTTGGTCATCACATAAATTATGATTCTCCACCAATATTTCAATCATGTAGATCCTTAAAACACATTTAGGTTCTATTTCAAATAAATACTTAAAATAAGATGATCATTTATTTTAAAAGAAGTTGTCTTCTTCTTTTCACCACAACAATGCATGTAAGGATCACAATATCTTTCAACACACAATTTAATTTAAACCAAATAATGATTTTATTCGCAAAATAATCATATGTGTATCTCAATGCACAATCATCACAACTGTCTTGACTAGTTATTTACTCTTTCAACCCCAAATATAACAATTGTTGGACTCAATCCATTCACCATATTACAATCAACCGGTACTACTATTCTATATCCCATTAAAGATATTGAAGATACCTGAAAATATTGTTTAGAACCAAAAAATTGTTCATAAAAAGATTGTATTAAAATATTACAATTGTTGTAAGTTATTCAGCAGCTGCTGAAATAGATATAGCAGTTGCTGCAATTTATTCTAACAACAACATTCAACAATTGTTAAAGATTTAGTAGTCATATTAGTTGCTGAAAATTATTATACATCAGTGACAAGAACAATAATATAGAAACTAAAATTTTAAATGAACAATGCACATAAAGAATATTATTAACTTGTTAAAATGATTGAAAATTAGTCATTAAGTAATTTCTAAAGCTTAAACCTTTTCAAATCACATGTTAATAATTTGAAATTTGATATTTAACGAATAAACGATAGATATGAAGATTAAAAGTAAAAAAAAAATGTGAAAAGAGAGGCACATCGATAGAACAAAAAAGCTGATTTGGGGGCTTTCCTCTTTTAGAAATTAGGATTTAGTTAAAATTTTGGTGCAAGTGTCAAATAAAAAACTTTAGGACCTATTGAAAAAAGGTCAATTATTTTTAAAAGTTTGATTAAAAGCTTGTCACACATACTTATTATCAAAAGTTGAATCACCCTTTGTACATTTCAATTCTTTTTTGTTATCTATAATTCATCCCACAAAAACTTGAGGTCCAGTGAAATATACCTTCAAACCACTTCACTTCCCTTTGTCTATGTCGTGCGAAAGACCAAAGTACTCTATAGAAACTTAATTTTTACTATGGAATTGTTTTCATTCATCATCAACTACTAATTACTATATGTTGTAAATATTTCTTGCCCTTCAAGTTTTAGCTGAGAGAAATATATTTGCATTCTTTAATTTCATGAAGCTTTGATCATCGCCATGTTAGGATCGAAAATAGTCAGATGTCATGCGTAAGCTAATAAAACAAATCTCAAAAGATAATGAGAAGAAGACAAATGAAAAATATATCAAAAGACACAAAAATTTAATGTGATTTGATCAATCAACATACATCCACAAAGAAGATGAATAATCCACTATAAATATGAGAGTACAAAATATAGAAAGAAATAACTCCAACCAATTCGAACGCAATACAAGGAGGTTCACAAAATTCTCCTCTATTTGACCAAAACTCAAAACCTAGGACTATATTTTGAAGGCTGATTAAGTTAGAAGGATTAAGCTTCTATTTATAGAGTTTTAAACCTTTTTTTAAAAACAAAACTAGTCGAATCTTAAATCTTATTTTTTCGAATAAAAATTTATTTATCGTAAGAAATTCAGGACAAATAAACCAAACATATCGTGCCTCGACTTTTGTTTTAGTCAGCACATGTTCCACAAGCTTTAGTTTCCATGTTAAAAGTATTACTATGTAGCTTTTTATTTCTTATTAAGCAAGTTGGATTTACTGAACTCGCAACCAGAGCTAAATATTATAGACTTGGGCCTGTATTAGAGTGTATGGCCTTTAATTTTGCCATGTAGGTAAGATACTTACTCACTTTCTCAAACTTCTCCATGTTAGTTTTTCTCAGATGTCAGAATGGCTGCTTTGATGTTCAAAACAATACTTTTAACATTAACCACCTATAGAGACAAGTTTATATGGATTAAGTGTGCATAGGAGCGGAGCTAGGTGAGTTTGGACAAATACAATAACTTTTCCATAGACTTTATATTTGTGCTAGAAAACTAAGTAATAACTTGTGCATCCATAACATAACCGATTGATAACTCAATGGTAAGAAAGAAGAAAGAAATTTAGACCCCAAACTCCTAATACTGGTTCTGCCAATGTAAAACTTTTAGTTCCTCTCGAAGAAATTGAATCATAAGTTAGATCAAATATGGATAGAGTTACAGTTCTATTTTCAATTTTTTCCATGCAATGTTGTGTTTCTAGTTATCTTTTATGTTTTACTTCATTATGCTAATGCTCATTCACTGTCTTTGCAACTTTTGAGTCGTTTTCCTTTTTTTTTAAAAAAAATAAAATAAAAAATAACATACATCCTGCAAAGTTCAGCATAATGATTCTCTGAGTTTTATCGGAAGTAATTTAAATATGTACAATTGATTTAATTGTAACATATCTAATTTATACACTAAGAATTAAACAATGTTGATGTTAGTATATTTCGATTTTTTAACCAAACGAAGCCATTATATAAAACAATTTATCAAAGTAATACAATTTTCTAAAATTTTACAAAACTAGTATAAACGTATTTCACGGTAACGTTTTAGGGTATATTTTTTTTTAAAAAAACTAAGAGCATTAGGTTGATATACGT